GTGCTCCCAGTGCCTAGGTTTTACCGTCAATGATGTTAACATTATTCTTTATGCAAATAAAGCTAAAACCCATAAATCTACAGAGGTTGTATGGTGTAAGTTCAAACATTTATCACGTTTTAATTTTTTTTAATATTGTTGCTTAAGAATGCGGGGAATGGTGTTTCTGATAGTCTTAATTGTCACAATACTGAACCTTTCGGCTAAGGCTCAGTCTCACGCCGATTGGATTACCAGCCCACTCAAGTAGTAGCACCCACCCACTTTTAAAAATAATGAAAATGTTGAAACAGACGTCACTGTGAGTGCTCAGTCATTCCTCATGTTTAAGAAATATAATGATGATTAGAAGAGAGAGCGTAACCAGTAAAGAGTACTTACAGAAAAGTTAAAACATATATTATAAATACTCATGTAACAGCGTGCACCGAACTTTTTGGAAGAAAAAAAAATATATATATATATATTTCCATATGTATGCTTAAGAGCAGAAGTTTTGTGGAATTCTTAGGTACAATATCTGTTTGTTTTCTCTAGAGCAAAGCCACAATAGGCTATTTACTTTGTTCACCTCGGGGGAATCAAACCCCGGATTCTAGCGTTTTAAGTTCGTAACCGTACTGCTGTCTCACCGGGGCTTAGGTACAATGTTTGTTTGTTTTTCTCTAGAGCAGAGCCACAATAGGCTATCTACTGTGTTCATCTCGGAGAATCGAACCCCGGATTCTAGCGTTTTTAGTTCATAAACTTACTGCTGTCCCAACGGGGGATTAGATACAACGTTTGTTTGTTTTTCTCGATACCCTAGCTGAATGAATTAGTTCAGTAGGTAACTAGGGCGAAAGGAACGTAGCTACTTCCTTCGCTAATTTTCTGTGTCGAAACCACGCACACTTATATGTATAAAAGAGTGTCGAACAAGTTATGTTAAATAAGGGTTTGGAAAACACGAAGTACGTCTATATATTACACTGATCTAAAAAGGCCTTCAAAAGTTTGGTGTATAACACAAAATCTGGTGAAGACGGATTTGACGAGCTCTAGTATTCGACAGAGTATTTCTTATACAACACAGAGAAGTAACTGAGATATCATTTGTACGATCTTAATAATAATGTTAAAATTCCAGCAGACTCATTATGACGTTTTTCGCGTTATTTAGCTTAGAAACTGTCATCTTATTAATCTCGTAAAAAAAAATGTTTGAATTGCCATGATACTGTATACTTCTAATCAGTGTGTTGTGTTATTCATATTAATATTCACGGAAATCCTCATTGCGTAGTATAATTATAAAAATATACATGCCAGTCTTGACTGTGATTGTTAGAGCTATCCAACTGAGGAATTTTACTTTAAACATGCTATAATTAACAAATACTTTTAACCGTAAAATAAATGTATATTTTTTATTTTTCGCGGTTATACAGCCATCATATATATTGACGCTTTTTAAAGTAAAATTTCCATCCCAGTCTTCTTGGTACATACTGAATTCCATTCTACCCACGTGATCTACTACTCCTCTGTAACTAAGCAGGAAACCAACCCAGCAAGCAGGATGAACCCACTGGCGTAGAGTTTAGTGACTTTTTAACATATTCATAACAAAAAGAGAAAAACCAAGCTTAAAAAAATTTGGCAGAAATTGCTTCCTCCGATTCCTTTCTTTTACTTTTTGTCATATTAAACAAATAATAGAAACTAAGAATAGAAAGTGTGATGAAACATGTCAGTGTCATTGGAAATGCTTTTAAACTTTTCACTCATTTTGTTCGCCATAGGCCACTGTTTACAAATCCTTTCATCTAAGCACACCTAGGGCTCATCAAATGCAATGAGTAATAACTCCTAAAACTGTCCCACGGTAGAACAGCGGTATATTTATGGACTTAGGGCGCTAAAATCCAGCGTTCGATCCCCTGTTATGGACGCAGCAGATAACCCAATGTGACTTTACAACTTTTATTTGTTCATTGTTTATATCAAAAGGTACTGTTACACAGTCTTTTAGTGGGAACATGTATTTTATTTTCATTTACAAAAGAACGGTTTCTCACCAGTTGCAGCAAGGATCAAGCTTCACCAGCTTCGGTGTTAGGCCATACAAAGGAAAGTCATGTTGTTGTTTGTTTAATGCATTAGTTGGTACGTTTGAATAATCTCGTAGAGAAAATGTGTATTAAATTCAAGTAAACTGAGTGAGTTTGTTCACAATTTAAAAAATCCTCAGTTTTTGTGTAGACTCTACTTTATAGCGTAAGGATAGTTAATATCACTATTTGAAAGGCGTTATTTGTATAACTTTTTAACCATTTGCAAGTTTTACTTTGATTGGTTATTTGTTAACACCCGGTCTGTGAGTCAACTAGACTGAAATTGAGGGAATGAATGAGATACATATGGCTTCCGGTATTCTAGCTAGAACAAAAAAATACTTTTTTAAAAGATTCCATATATATTAAACTCAAAATAAACACATATCGTTGCCAAAAAATTCACCTCTCACTATTGTTCGACCACGAAGATGAGGAGCTCAGAGGGTTGGCCGGATTGTGTTCCTCTTGCACAAAACAGTAGATGTTATCATTTTCAGGCAAGTAACGCAATTAACTACGTTACATCTGCAAGTAAGCTTCGGCCATATTTATCGACAGAAGTCGCGAAAACCGCGGATTAAACGTCTTTATGGAGCTGAGGAACCAAATCTTGTAATTGTCCAACGTGTGTGTGATCACTACCGTGTTTTGTGTAGGATTTTGGATTGGGGTGTGGGTTTTACTCTCTCAAAACCTAGAAACTAGTGTGAATTCGGCTAGGGTAGTGGGCAATTCAGATTCCAGATATCACAAAAAGAGAATACCAGGAAGCTTTGTTTGAGAATCCATTCACCAATCATGTCTCCCTGATTCGCAGACTGAGTGTTTACTTTATCCTGAGTGTGTCTTAACTGGAGCTCTCCTATTTGGGCTTTAATATATACTAATTATTTGACCAGGTTCTCGAAATTTAAAGAAATAAAAGCCATTGTTATAGAAAAAAGTATATATACTTCCAAACACATTCTGCATCAATTAATTTGAAAGATATGAACACTCAAATGGCTCAGCGGTTAGCTTGAGGGCATATAACCTAAAATTGAGATACAATTCCCTTGGTGGGCACAACGCATTTCGCCCATTGTGTAGCTTTGCGCTTAAAAAAAACAAATAAACAATTGAAAGAGATGCAAAAAGCTTTAAATAAAATACATTTCCAATCAGCAAACATTTTCATATATGCTCCTCCCCTAACCAACGTTTCACCATTTCAGCTTTGTCAGATCTCTTACAAAATTATGATGTAGTTATAAATTAAAATGTTCAATTGCGGGTGGCATTAACCAGAATGTGATACGAGCGAAGATAAAAATAACATTGTTATAGGAATAACAATAATATATTACATTGAGATAAGAGTACTGTGTTCATTCTTTATGTATTTTGATACTTAATCTAATTGTATGTAGGTCTATTATTTGGTTAGCCTAGAGCTTTATGGCGACTGCAACCATGTGTTTTTACTCGATCAAATATATAATCGTAGTTCCTGGCACACTACTACTAAACAACTGCACGTATGTTAGAATTCTCTTTAAGTTGGGGAATTTAACTTGTGTTCGTTTTGTAGCTTTTGTATCAGAATATTGATATGAATTTTGAAGCTTTTCTTTAGTTTGGACTTCAGGAAATATTTTGACCCCTCCCCCTCATCCACGATCGTACTACTGCACTTTGACAAGAGAACTGGATTTAATAAATTAAAACTACATTCCTCATTGAAGAAGTGGGATAGAAAAATAGGTCAAGCAAGTCTTACAAGGAAGCATTGATTGAAAGGAATTGCTATTGGCAACAAGACAGCACTGTTTATGACATAAATAAACGTATTTATAACGAACAAACGTTTTGTGGCTAAAAATTCACAATTTCAACTGCAACTTTGTACACAATAATTACCACCTACGTTTTTCCCAGGCTTGACGCTGAGCTATCAAGGAAGAGGAGTTGAGAACTTTGCTTTTATTTCTAAGTGACAACACTTGTTTTCTTGTTTTGTTTCTTTTTTCGTTTAGATATATAGAATTATGAATCGTTAAAGAAATGTAAACTGGTAACGACATATAACAAGTGAAATTAAATTCAAAAGGAAAAACAAGGAAATTTACCGCATGGAAAAAGAAAAATGGCATGAAAAAAAAAGGCTTTTTAATACACTGAATTTGTTTAGGACTAAATGTTTGTCAAAGCAATTGTCTATTCAATTTTAGCGATATTTTTGAAAGGTACAACACTGTTGATATTTTATAATTAACGCTTGAACAATTATTGTTATGAGTCAGGGTGCTCAGATTACGTTTTGTTTTTCTTTTTGTAACAGGTGTTTTAATCCTTAGGGTTATATAAGACAGAATCGGTATTTCTATCCGTCTGCTTAAAAATACAGTAGTCAACATTTGCTAGGGATCATGTTTTTACATAATAGGTACACTAATGCTAATAAAGGTCAGTTCTAAAAAAAAGACATAGCTTGGAAGTCCATTACCTGGACATTGTCTGTCAAGTGCAAACTTTCTGCCTGGGTGACTTTGATTGGATCCTGGCTTTGTTTTCCGACCATACCCCCAAATTGAAAGTACATACAGTGAAATTGTGTGGTTCTTAATTTGACATCACTGATCATTGCATGCTAAAATTGGTCTGACTGAGATTATGCAGTGCAGAAAATGCCTCGTTTAGGTCAAAGGCATCATCTTCCCCCTGCAAAACTTAACAGGGCTGTTCGAATGATGCAGGGAGGCATGACTCAATGCAGGGTTGCTGGTGCTCTTGACATATCCCAAAGTGTCGTGTCCGCGGCCTGGAATGGGTTCAGAGAATATTGACAGAGTCAATAGGAGACGTGTTTGAGAAAGGAGAAGACTAACAACTCCTCAACAAGACCGCTATTTGACCATCCAGGCTCGAAGGAATCGCTTTGCTCCAGCTGTTAACCTCCATAACTCCATCCAAGATGCCACAGGAGTCCGAATGTCTACACAGACAGTGCATAGACGCCTTCTCAAAGCTCATTTGAGAGCTACACGTCCTGCTAGTTATGCTCCTTTAAGCCAACAATACAGGCAGGCACGACTGCATTGGCTAGAGAACACAGGAGGTGGAATGTGCAACAATGAAGGGCCGTACTCTTCACTGACGAGTCCCGCTATTGTGTGGACTTTCTTGAAAGACGCAGGAGAGTTTGGTGAGCCCAATTTGTCTCAGAATGTCATCGAACATGATCGCTTTGGAGGAGGTTCAGTCATGGTGTGGGGAGGCATCTCAACTGCAGCCCGTACCGACCTTGTAATTATCCGAAATGGAAATCTCACGGGCCTAAGATACAGAGATTAGATCCTTGCACCCATTGTTCGTCCATATGCAGGTGCAACATGGCCAGACTTCTTGCTTATGGATAACAATGCGCGTCCACACCGTGGAAGGGCAGTGACTGCCTTCCTGGAAGCTAAAGGAATTCCCAGGATGGAGTGGCCAGCTAGGTCTCCTGACCTTAACCCAACAGAGCACATCTGGGAGCAGCTACAGACAAGGCTACAAGCTCGTCAAGCCTGACCAAGAACGCTCCAGGACCTGGAAGTTGCCTTTTTTGAAGAATGACAACAGATTCCACAACAACGATTGGCTAACCTGATCTGCGTAAACTTTGTGCGGCAGTCATTAATGCTCGAGGTGGTCACACAGACTACTGAAATCATCTTGACTGTGAATTGGATACTTCTTTCAATGACTGTTTATTTTGATATATTTTTTTTGTTAACGCTGTACCATAGTGTGCATCATTTCCTCAGGCTCTTTTATCCAAATTAAATGTTACAGAACTTAATAAAGTGTAAAAATGACTTATTCAGGTGTTTTTCATCCTAAAATGTTCAATCTATACATACCATTGTGGTAGGTGTTTGACATACTCAAACTAAAACATAATCCCTAGCAAACGTTGACTATTGTATCAATTATGGAATATAGCAAATTGAGATTTGCTTTGGTTGTTTTACCCAAATTCAAAATTCATGTCCATTTTGATTGATATTCAAGCAGAATTTGCGCATAATCTTTGTGTGATTGGCTGAGAACAAATAAGCAAATTTTATACATCATACTAATATTGCATTAGCTAAATCAACAATTTCAGATTAATCCTTGATTCTTAATATAGTTTCAAAACGATTTGACTGTACTGTCCAACGAACTTTATCTACCCTCCAGATGCAAATCCGAGGTGGTTACAAATATTTACATAATTAACTACATTTACCTATATCGGATTTACTTCCTGGTTCAGCCATAGAGAAAATATTTTTTCGATACAACTTGCACGTTTTCAGATTTCTAGCGTTGTTAAACAACAACTTTCCAGTGGCGCAGCGGTAAGTTTGCGCCACTAACAACGCTAAAAATATATTTCGATACCCGTGATAGGCAGAACACAGGTAGCCTATTTTGTATCTTTGTGCTTAACGACAACCAACCAAACAACACCCACCAGAAAGATTAGAAAACTTGTTCCTTTTTTTTTTCATACAACCTACAAGTTTTCAAATATGTAACATTATTAAACAACAGCACCAAAGAGAAAAATCGGACAAATTTGTTGTCTTTTCATAAAACATATGTTTTCAGATACGTAGCACTATTAATCAACAACACATAAAAACTCGTTCAGCGCTGATGTCGTTACTTGACACTAAGTTTGCAGTGTGAACATTTCGAAACAGGTACACAAATGCTAATACGAATTTACATTTTTAACGTTCATGATGTCTTGAGGAAGTTCGCATAGCAAAAAAAAAGTTAAACTGGCGAACAAAGAAATAGTTAGGGAATAAAAATAAAATATAACTTTTAATAAAACATCCTGATAAAGGGTCGTTTTTTCACTAAAGCTTTGGTAGAATTTTAACAAGTGAATTAGAACAGGCAATACCTTAATTAAAACTGTCACGAACTATAAAGAACAGGTTCATACAAAAGGGTTGGCTATACAACCTTTAGAATAAGAAAAGTAACTACATTGAAAACTATAGATATGTGTGTATGTGTATCCACAACAAAAATGCTGGTTTGTTTTGGATAAATTATTGTACGGGATAGAGAATCACAGAAAATGTGTCATACTACCCTACCTGGTGCAGGTTTTTTACTGCCGTGTGTTCGAGCACTTTCAACACTAGAATTAAAACCTTCATTATTTCCCAAGGTAAGTTTTACTTGGTAGAAGCAGAAACTTTTATTTGACTGCTGAGTAAGGAAAGTATAAAGAAAGAATAAGGAGAATCGAACCTTAATTCACGTGAAACACATCAAGCCAACGCTACGATTATGGCGTATTTACGTACAGATTTGTTCGGGTTAGAATACTGAAACGAGTTGTTAATAACTGCACACAATAACAATTAAAAAAAATTGAACGACTTACAGTAATTTTAGACAAAATAAATAAATATTTAGAGCCCGTCTTCGCTTATTTCTTTGAAATATTGCAGTTATGAATTCAATGTATGTCATCAGTTAATTTCTAAAATAACACTTTCAATTTACTAAAACAAAATTATTATGGGACCACATTTTATTCTGGTTTCGATTACAAAATGCTAACTCGCTTTGTTAACTAAGGGATTTTTAAGCTATAACACGACTTTTTTCTCGTATTTAACGACTAAGACATATCTTTAATATAGTTCAGTCCAAACCTTTGTTCTATTTCTTACAAAACGTAGTCGTAGTAGCAGGTGTTTCAACATGTTATTCATACATAAATTGTTTTCAATGATTTATCTATAAGAACCTTTACAATGTATTCTGTTGTGTTCAAAAACAGCATAAGGAAGTGTTGCTTGAGATGTGATTACGACAACAAAAGTTTTCAGTGTATTAACTGTGTACTTCTGTATGATAATATATATATAGCTAACAACTTCTATAATGGCGTACCGATTTTGCGCAACTTGACAGCCGCTGAAATTATAGACGCTCTGTTGCTCGTAAAGCGGGGATGGGGGGGGGCACTTTTGTTACCTGCGGCAAGAGACAATATAGCGTTCTCGCTGAAAGAGTAGAAAGAACACATTGTGTCAATTTATAGTATTTTACAATCCGTTTATTCAACTCCGAAAGTTCGATGAACTTCGAAAAAATTATTCAAGTCTACATTACTTTCGAAAATGTTTATCGAGTGCTGCAACTTTTCCAAATAGGATTCACGTTATCTGTCTCTAACAATCACTAAAGTCTAGTATATAATCCATAATCTGTCTGTTGTTAAGTGTAGAAAATACTAAGCCAACTCAGGATTCACGTGTTAACTGTCTCTAACAATCACCAAAGTCTAGTATATAATCCATAATCTGTCTGTTGTTAAGTGTAGAAAATACTAAGCCAACTCAGGATTCACGTTAACTGTCTCTAACAATCACTAAAGTCTAATATATAATCCATAATCTGTCTGTTGTTAAGTGTAGAAAATACTAAGCCAACTCAGGATTCGCGTTAACTGTCTCTAACAATCACCAAAGTCTAGTATATAATCCATAATCTGTCTGTTGTTAAGTGTAGAAAATACTAAGCCAACTCAGGATTCACGTTAACTGTCTCTAACAATCACTAAAGTCTAGTATATAATCCATAATCTGTCTGTTGTTAAGTGTAGAAAATACTAAGCCAACTCAGGATTCACGTTAACTGTCTCTAACAATCACCAATTGAAAATTCGGTTAACGATGCCCCCACTACAGCGCTCGACAATATAGCAGCTTCTACCCTAAGCTATAAGTGTTATGTCAGATATTCGATAGTGATTTCAACACTAATAGCCCACCTTGCATAAATAATTATTCATTCATATACTTTCCTATTATTGGTTTTGATGTAAATTGTACTAAAGATTTTGTGTCGAATATTTGTTATACATATTGCAAGTATATTGATTCAAGTTGTTAGGTTTATTTTTGGGGTATTGAGGGATAAGAACTGGATATTTTACTGCTGAAATTGTCAATATATAGTAGAAGTAACTGCTGTCAAAAGCCACTATATGAATGGAAGAAATTTTAGCACATTTTTGCTATATTGCAGTCTATGTCTGCCATGAAACGTATAGGTATTGAATATAGTTTGGTTTATTCTCATTAGCATTCCTATACTGTACATTTTGGTACCAAATATGCATGGCTAGCACAATTTCTGACCTAGCTAGTTCATATCAAAGCACTCGTAATTATTTTGACTGGGGTATCATTAAAATATGAATATTTCATAGACCGCACAGGAAAAACAAGGCTAAATATGCCCAAAGGTTGTTCATCTTTCACCTAAGGCATATTGTTGCTTTGTATACATACAGTTGGCTGATTAGGTCGAAAATTTTTCATCCTATGCCGCTCGCCTATAAAGACTAACCAACAATAGTGGTTTTCTACTTTGACCCGCCCATTTTCTCCGCCTGAAGCTTTGTTTCCAACTAGACGTGAAAAGGCGATAAAGATGCTGATCATCTGACGTAAAAAATAGAAAATCAGTGAGAGATCAGACTAATCGGTCGAAACGTGATATATGTGTATGTATATGCACAAACACACACAGACACACATATATATATATATATATATGTTAGGAGTTTCATTAATCGGTGCAGGCAAAGTGATATTTTTCTCTTGATTTGTTTTTAATGATTTCAGTTTGTTTGTTTTTTAATTGTAGAGTTGCCAAATTCATGAACTGTATCTACTTTTAGCGTTAGACAATATTTTGATCAGCAAATCCCTGTTCAGGTAAAATTCTCAGACTGTTCAAAGCAATAACGTATTAACTAGGCGTTTCCACAAGGATCCTGTTCAATAAACGCATTACAGTTTGTTAATTCTACTCGGCTATAAAATACAAGAATATTTTTGATTTTTTGAACATGATAATAAGTAATGTTGTAGTTGTAGTGATTGTAGCTGTAGAATTATGATGTTTTTTAGCTTATGTAAAACATAAAATAAAGAAATTGACTTCAATACCCCTACGACCTTCGCAGTACCTTATCTAATATTCTACAAAAGGTTTGGGTCCAATATACCAAGTCGTTTTTGTTGTAGGCTAGCAAGAGAATAATAATAAGAAAGAATAATTACAATCTGACCGTTTTGAGCAGATTTTTCTTTTCCTTGTAAGTCTGACATGCGTGCTTTTTTGTGCGTTTTAATATGTGTACAGCCTTAGCAGTCAATAATAAATGTTTTAAAATTAAAGTGTTGTTTGAACTAAATCTTTACTGTTTAAGGTACTTTTTACTCAACGTTCTATTAGGATTTTCTGCAATTCCTTTCGATCTCAACTATTAACACTATCATGGTTCACGATACTATTAAAGAGATACTACGGTCTGCACAGTAAAATTACGATTAAATTATCAACCAGTTTTTATTTATCAAACTGAACGATTGTCCACTGGCGATCAGTCAGGCAGAGATGTTAAAACTTAATTACTGCTTAAGTACAAACCGTAATTAAGCCTGAGTATTAATTACCAGATAAAGACTGTGCAGCTGTGATTTAAGTACGTTGAGAATTGCAATCGTTCTGAAGTGGGAAAGCTGAAACCTTTATGTACTTTGCCATATAGCGCTTTTGTATAATGAAAATTATTGTAAGAAGCATGTTGTATGTATGAACTATTCTTGTTAGATTTTCTAAGTGATACGTCCAATGACAGCAAACTTTCTGTTCAAAATTAACTGTTTTTACTACAAGAAACTAACTGTAATTTGTTACCATATTTTGTTTAACATTGTTCTTCTCACCACAGTTCCTTTCTGTTGAATTTTTCTCAAAGCTACTCGAAGGCTATATTAGCTAGCTGTCCTTAATTTAGAAGTGATAAGCTAAAGGGAAGGCAGCTAGCCAGTCAACACCACCCGCCGCCAACTCTCGGGCTACTAAGTTACCAACGAAAAGTGGGATTGACCATAATATTATAACGCCCAAATGGCTGAAAGAGCGAGCATATTCGACGAAAGGATTCGAACCCCTGGCCCACAGATTGCCCTAACAACCAGGCCATGTAATAAGATTGTCCTGTTATCCCAAGCCATTAAACTACTACTAATATAACTGGCAATTGTTATCTCTGGATTGTAATAATGTAATTACCAAAATAATTTAAACATTTTTAACACCAGAGTAATTAGTAAAACTTAATTACTCTTTATTGGCTTCAATATTCTTCGTGTAAATTATTTAGATGATAGCGTTGATGTTGTTGTTGAGATTTTTCCTGTAGTCTTAATATTTTGTAGTTATTATTATATTTGTCTGCTTGTTTCGGGTTTATATATATTCTAGCCATAATATTTTTATTAGACTTTTTCTAATGTTGAATAGCGGTTTTGTCTTTTTTTTTTCAGAAGCTGCAAAAGTTTCCTTAGAATAATAAAAGGCCTGAAGCTTTTTATCTAGTGTTTTACGTGTGACTTTATTAAAATTCGTTTTATTTGTTATCTTTCTTTATCATATCAAATGTTGTTAAAGAAACTAATACATATTTAAATCTGTTTGTTTATTCCAATAGCTCGTAAGCAAAAAAGATGCCGAGGATGACAGTTGCTGTAGTTTTGATGATTGTTGCCACATTCATTAATTCAATTCAAAACCAAGAAACATTGCATTGTGAGGATATGATTAGAAATATTCACCTACCTTGCATTTGTTCCATAAGTTTAGAAAATGGAACTTCTGTTAACTGTGATGAAATTTTTTTCTTTGGAGACTTTCCAATTCTTCCATACCATCATCACATTTACAGTTTTAGTCAGCGTCATGCAGGCCTCCAGAATCTAGAGGCTCAACTATTTACAGCCAGTGATATTCCCCTTAAAATTGTTGATTTCTCTCATAATCTTCTCCGACGACTTACTGAAAGAGTGTTTGATGGAATCGAAGACACAGTAGAGGAAATTCATCTGAGTCATAACCTGCTTGGAGATCAACTTAATCCAATCTTTTCTACAGGCGAGCTTCAAGAACTACCTAAACTACGTGTGCTTGACCTGTCAGCTAATCAGCTACGAGCTTTAGACTCTGAGATCTTCAGGGGTTTGGATAACTTGGAGGTAAAAAAAGTTTCTGTCGTTGAAACTACTTACTTTAAATTATTTGTACGCTTTTTAACATGACCTACACACTGGTTAACATTTTATTAATTCCTCCCTTGCCCCCTTCACACAAACAAATTCAAACACATTTGTAGAACTTTCCATTTATTATCATTTGCAAAATACACTGATTTGATTATATATTTGAGCCCTAAAGCTTCATAGATGCAGTCCTATAATTATTAACCTTCAGGACAAAGAATAAGTATGATAATCCTTCCAGCTTTCAAAAGGACACAATCTTGTGTCCTAGTTGAAACATTATTATCAAATATCATTTTGTTGACTGGATGTTCAGAAATAATTGTCATCACAGTTTTTCAACAGTGGAAATTAAAAGAAAATGTTCTGTTTTGCCATTAGGCAAGAATATGGCTGTCAACAACTGATAACTAGCTGAGATAAAAAACGATTGGTCAGACTTCCAAAGTGAAACAAACATCATACTTTGTCTTGATTGGTTTATTCCTTATCAGTAGTCAGGATTAGATTGTTTTCATCCATTCCTTATAAAAGACATTACAGAAACTTATATCTATGAGCTGGCAACCAGTTTGAAAACCACTAATCTGAAATGTAAACAGGAAAGTTTGTCTTCAGTGGGTTTAAAAACCAGTTGCAAATAGTAAGTAACTAGAAATGTGATTTTGTTTGATAAGTCACCTTTCACATTCTTTTTTATTGACAGTTATGACATGGAGTAAACCAGAGGCATTTCTAGGTACTTAAAAGATTGGGGGCTCAGGCTCATAGGTGCAGAAATTATCGACAGTTCACTATGATATTGTTACGTCTCTGGTCGTTTGTTAATTTCCCGTATAATTTCTTTCGGATGAAACTTTAGCGATACAAGTCTTTTCT